AACATAATGTGAAGACTGTAGAACTATATACAAAAGAAGAGGTAATCAGTCCCTCAGCCTTGAAGTTGGTGAAGAACACTATAGTCTTGAATTATTATAGGCAGCGCTAAACCCGTAGGGATTATACAGTGCCTGTCGTGAGGGGGGGTTATGGAAGGCATTCAGGCTCAACTGAGGGAACCGGAGCACAGATCCAGTTCCCTCCGGTAGGCCTGCTGCAGTGCAGCAGGCCTACTGGCCTCCTGGTGGATCATTAACAGTAATAACATGGATCCTACGACCGATCCTTCAACTCGCTTCTTCCTCAATCTTGACGTTTCTTTTACATAACTATCACACAAATTACGATGCAGATAAAACCAGACCTTTGCTTCTCTGTACCATGTCGAGCCTCAACACAGTCAAGTCTGCGCTGAAAATCGTTTAGTTTCATGTAATTTTGTAGGTAGGTTGTGAAATATTCCAGCCACGATATTGTGACTTTCATTCACTTTTCCTTCCTCACTGTGATTCGGCATTCTCTTTGTCAGGTATTATCCATTGCAGCACCTTTCCTCTCACCTCAGCCTGTTTCTCAATTTTATAAATCATTTTCGTGTGTGACACAGTGTCAGAGGTTGTCTGGCATTCTGCTAATATGCAGTTCACCCATCCGTCTCTTACTAAAAAAAATGGTTATAACTATGACCATAATTTTAAAGGGGTGGAGGGGTAAGCCAGCGGGAAGGCCTCGGTCAGATGACCAAAAGCTCCAACGGCGGGTCGTCATGCAAGACCCGCGTGAGGAAACGCTTGTCCTGTTTCCTGACGAACCTTACCTAACCTAACCTTTCTTGTCTTATATCCAGCAGCCTCTCATTGTTATGTGTGTAAATCAGAATTCTTCATTTATAAACCCGTGCTGGTGTTGCGTGATTATTATAGTCATGGGGAAACTTTAAAACCATGAGGGTCATATTATAATCAAAACTAAGCGCTAACCCACAGGGGTCATAAGACTCCTGGTAAGTGGAAGGTACACAGGTTTGATCCTAAGTGTTTTAAGAGCATCAGCTCGTTCTTGAAGTACCCAAGTGGAGGGCTTCTCTCTACCTGGCTCCAACAGGTGTCTGTACCCAACGTTTGTCCTAAATATCTCACTTCTTAGACACATGTGCAACACTTGGGTATCTTTATTGTGAAAACGTTTCGCCCCACAGTGACTTCATCAGTCCAGTAGAGAAGAATTTAACCAAACGTTTCCACAATACAGATACCCAAGTATTACACATGTGTCTAATTTATCAACTTGTCGGTTCTCTGAACCATTTATCTACATTTTAGTTCTCCTTTACTCTCATATTCTCGAGTGCTGCATCATCAGTGCTTCCTTCTCCATGATTTAGTAGTGATTCCTGGAAACTTGCTGAGTTCGTCACACGCTTCACTATCATTTTGTGTTTACAACCACCCCACATTATTCTTTAGACCTAGTTATTCTAGTCACCTTTCTCTTGATGTGACTGTGGGACACTGCGTTGACTCATTTCTTGGGCTACTGTGTGTATATATGTATACACGAGTCTTTGCTGTTTGTGTATATGTACGCTTAGCTCTCCCCATTATAATAATAGTAATGTGTATGTGTGTGTAAGGTTCATTGGCTGTTGTTTATGTACACGTACTTAAGGTTCTTTGATTACTGTGTGAATATGTACTGTTGGCGTATATGTACGTAAGATTCTACATTAATACTCTGAGTTGTGTATTTTAACACGCCGGCCGCCCCCCACAGAGGCAAGGTGACCGAAAAAAAAAAAAAGAAAAAAGGGTTTTTTCCTTTTTGCATTTAGTGATTTATAAAAAAGGGGTTACGGGGCCCTTGGCCCCGGCATTTCGGGGCCCCTTTAATAACCATAACTTACGGGGGGAAGGGGATTCTTCTATTTCCCGGGAGAGAGTTTGCATAATCTTTAAAACAAAAATCATTCCTTTCAGTCATCTACTCACAATTAGATGGAAAAAAATTGCAACAAACCAGACCGCAAAAAGTATTAATAACGGGTTTGGGAAACACACGGTTTGTGTGTGGTGTATGCTCATCAGCAATAAATAAAAGAGAAGACAAAAACACACCCAGTGCAAACACAATTTAAAATTTAGCCTAACACAAAAGATGGAAAGTGAAAGCAAAGATGGGTTAGGGGGGGTGGTGGTGAAGACCCCCGGAGGGGGGGAAAAAGGAACGAAGAAACGAAAGAATTAAGAAAAGGGACTAAAGAGAGAGCTAAAAGGGGAGTGTGGGAAAGATGCAAGAAGAGAAGAACAAAGCGAAGGCACCCAAACAACTCAAGGCACTCGTGACTATTTTTTAACGCGAAAATTTATCAATTAAACGTGCACAATGATTTTCCCAAATTTAACCTTTTCCCACCGGGGGAGTCACCTCGAGGGGGCGTGCAAGCTGATGTGGGACCTGTATACCAGGGAACACCTCAGAAGGTCTGCAGGTAATGTTCCCGGGTAACGGGTTTCCCTCGTGTAAATAGGTTCGTAGACAAGTATATCGGGACCTGTATACCGGTGCCCCCCCAGACAGGTACCGCAGGAAAACGGTTACGGGGAACAGGTCTCCTCGTGCTAATGGGGGGGTGGACCGTATGCGGCACCTGAAACCCAGGTAACCCCCCCAGACAGGTACCGCAGGTATACCGGGTAACCACCCCAGCGGTACCGCAGGTAACCGGTTACTGGAACAGGTCCCCTCGTGCAGATGGTGGGGGGACCAGATGTCGGCCCTGTACTGGAAGGTTCCGGATATAACATTGTAACTTTTTTTAAAAATGGTCTGAAAAACCGACACTAAAGGGGATGAAATGCGTGCTAAAAAATCTACCCTAGACAGGACTCGCAGCAAGGGTTTTAAAATTGGAAAATCGATTCAGAAGGATATGGGAAAACACGGTTTTGGAAAGAGTTGGGATGAGGGGAACAAACTCCGAGTACCGTCAAAAATTTTAAGACTTGATATTTTTTAAAAAAAGGTTGGATAAATACATGATGGGTGTGAATGGGGACCGACACTAGTGCTATAGGTCGGATGCGTGCCCCTCCCTTCATGACGTGTCTGCCCTCACTGGGTCAAGCAGGGCTTAAGCCGGGGGGGGGTTGACTTGATAAATTAAACTGGCAACTCTTGGTATCTTTATTGAGGAAACTTTTGCCACCAGTGGCTTTATCAGTCCATACAAAGGAAATCTTGAAAAACAGGGGGAAATGAGGGAAACATCCCCCAACCTTGAGTCGTGTGGTCAGTCCATCAATCTGAATAGAAAACGGCATACTGCGAGAAGAGCTTTTAAACCCTTGGGAAGGGGGGTGCAGCAGTCATAGGTGGGGTAACATTTTTCAAAGTTGAAATAGGTCCCTGCCCAAAAATTAGGAAGCGAGAAACCCCAATATTAAATCCCAAAATTCAGTTCTGCAGGTTTTTTTGATGAATGGTTCAGGAACGAATGTTGAAATTAGACACATGTGCAAATTTGGGTACCTGCCAAAAGGGTTTTTAAGCTCCTTCTCAGCACGTAGCCGTATTTACTCAAGATTGATGGGACTAAAACCCTCGACTCAAAGGTTTAGGGACGATTTCTCATTCTCCCCTGTTCTTTAAAATTTTCCCCTTTTTTTTGACTGATGAAGCCACTGTGTGGGGAACGTTTCCCCAAAAAAGATACCCCAAAATTTCACGGTCTAATTTATCAAATGTCGGTTCCTGAACCTTATCTACAGGGATTGGACCTGCCTCGATAGGCCATATGCCTGTTTCAGTGTTCCTTCTTTCTTACATTATGTGAAAAAAGAATTTTATATACAGTTAGGGCATTTAGAGGAAAAATTTCGCCCCAGTGGGTTCTAAAAAAATGTCTTGAAAAAGTACATAAATGTCTTTTTTGACTTAATGTTTTTATTTCGGTTTATCTGAAAGTGACAAACCCCCCAAACCTTAGTGCATACCCGGGGATTATAACCCCGGGGAAAAGTAGAAATGGGAGGGGAATTTCGAGGGAATTTGGGCCCCCTTTGGTTTGTAGTATTGTATAAATTATTTTATTATTATTAAAGTTTTTTAGTTATCGTTTTTAATCTTATTATTAATCTTTTTCTATTCATTAAAATTATCGTTTTTAATCTTTTTTTAATTTTAATCGTTTTATTTTTTTATTTTTAATCGTTATTTAAACATTTTCGTTTTTAGTTTTTCTTAATCATTATTTTTAGCCGTTATTAGTTATGGTTTTTATTATTTCCGAGGTGTGGTAAAGGGACCCTCGTGACCCCACCGAGTGCGCCGACACCTCTGGAGTCTACCTCCCGCGACCCGGGGGGGAGGTACCACGAAAATGAGTACTGTTTCATACTTTAAACACCTTTTATCCGAGAAGAGAGAGTAGCTCAACTTCCGGCATCAAGGGGTCTTTACTAAGAGGGTCGAGAACTGTTTTAAATGTTTCTGAGGGAACAAAAGAGTTTTTAAAAAATATTTAGCGCTTTACGAAACACTGACATTATTTGAAAATTTTACATCATTTTTTTTACATTGTATTTTTTTAAAGTTTTGTTGTTTTTTTGTTAAATTGTTTTGCCTCGTTTGAATTATTAAATTTATACTGCTTAGTTGTTTATTTTCCGTTAAAAACCTCTTCCCTCTCATCCATCTTTCCCTCTTACCCTTGTCTTTTGCTCCTCACTAACCTTTTTTTTCTTCAGTATCCCCTTTCTCTCCTCATTTCCTCTCATTTTCCCCTTTCTCTTCTCCCCTCCCTTTGTAAACATCAATCATTTACCGTTCCCCCCCACCCCTCATCGCCCACCCCATCTCCCTCCCCCCACCTCCCCTTTATTCCCCCCCTCACCTCACCCTTCACCTGCCCTCCCTCACTCACCTCACCCTTCACCTGCCCTCCCTCACTCACCTCACCCTTCACCTGCCCTCCCTCACTCACCTCTTCCCTTCACTGAAGATCACGGCCGACGGGCTGGATGCTGAACATTGTGACGACATCGCTGAACAACTCATCCTCAACGAACCAGGACGAAACTTTAAGGTAAGAACCAAACTTGATTGTGAGAACGAGGTAAGTGAAGACGTGGTGGAAGAGGACACCATATACACAGCTTTACAAATAGGTATGAAAGCTCCCACGGGGCTCAGGACCAGCTGATACAGCAGTTAAACATTAACTCGCTGAGTCCGTATAAACACAACGAGGACACCTAGATGAGCACGCACCTTCAAGAAAAGCCATGACGGGGCCCAAGAAGCCGCGAACCAGTAATGCCGGTCGATTATACAAGAACATGATGAAGTAAAACAGGATTTCTTAGTACTAGCTGTAGGGAAAATTACTTATATTAATTGCAAGTTAGGACAGAGGTTAAGAAGAGACGTTTGTGAGGTATTAATGGGTGTGGGTCGGGAATAAGAATTGTGAGAAGTGTCACATTTAATTATGTTACATGTTCCTCAGTTATCAATAATAATTTATCTTTAGAACGACTGTATTTTAAAGTTTGTCTTCGGGTACAGTATACCGGGGTATAACGGATGAAAACTGTTTCTAGAAGTATACAGACTCACGAAATCGTAATGACACGATTGCAAACAAACCATACCACGGGCGGGATTTGAACCCGCGGTCAGAGAGTCTCAAAACTCCAGACCGTCGCGTTAGCCATTTGTGGTCACAGTGGTGCCTATGCTAACCTTCCTATGGTGTAGAAATATACCTAGTTGGACGAATCTTATTGTGGCTAGCTGGTCCAGTGGCTAACGCGACGGTCTGGAGTTTTGAGAGTCTCTGACCGCGGGTTCAAATCCCGCCCGTGGTATGGTTTCTAGAAGTATACCTTTTTCCCATATATAGTAGAAAACTGAAATGAAATTATACAGTCACTCGCATATACGAGAGAGACTGACTTATGAAGACGTTTCGCTCCGACTTGGAATATTTACAAGTCACACAAACTCATAAATGGTCCAAGACGGAGCGAAACGTCGACATAAGCTCCTATGTGCGGGTTATTTGTGTATTGTTCCAGTCATGGTATTGTGACTTTTATTCTTTAGTAAATGGGATTAATGAGGCAACAAGTGTTTCAAGTGCTTCAAACTTGAAGAGGACACACCACTACCATGTATTACTGTAGCTACAGATAAGTAAATACAAATAGGTAAACACACACACACACACACACCACACACACACACACACACACACACACACACACACACACAGCCTTTCTCTTCGTGGCGGTGATAGGACATCAGTTTCACGAGTGAGTGTTCTGGAGAAAGTCACTCCCACGTTTATGACCGTCTTCAGATCTCTATATCCTCGTTGTCTTCCAGTTCCATTGAAACGCGTACTCCTTTTTATTAATTAAAAATGGCAGTTTCATTATATATATGTCGTGCCGAATAGGTACAACTTGCGATTCTGGCTTAAATAGCAACGCTCTTCTTGCCGGATAAGGCAAGTTAAAATTTGTGTATGGAATAATTTCGCAAAAATTATTCTGATTTTCGCAAAAATTAGCTGAGGCACCCACACCATCGTATGTCCTCGGATCACGGCACAACACCAAGCTCTGCTGAGTGCGTGATTCTTGTAGGATTGTATGGTCCAATGGGTTAGAGCGTCGTGGAATTTTCACTCCCCATGAGGCGGGTTAACAACACGGGTTCGAGCCCCCGGCTAGTCGCAGTGTTATTAATCAAATACCACTCGTTCGTAGTTACATTATTATATTATATTATATATATATATATATATATATATATATATATATATATATATATATATATATATATATATATATATATATATATATATATAAGATATATTACATTTTGCTGCTTGTAGTAACATAATAAATGTTAAAGGTTGCACGCAAGAGCAAGAGTTTAAACTTTGCACTGTTACATAATGTTGAAGATCAGCATCTGGAACTCGTCTCTTGCCAAGTATTTGTTCCTGATAGTGTAAACAGGTTGCGTATCTCACTTAATTTGCTTGCAGGAGTTGTAGAGATTATCAAGTTAATGTTAAGTAAGCAGCACTGTCAGCATGCGTCAGCAGCTCCAACTATTATGTCATCTCCTAATCTTGATGCACTGATTCAAACCCAATTACTGAACCTAAATTAATATAATGCATGGCTCGTGAAGTACCAGTTATATGCATTTAATATTCTTTAATATATATGCATATATGATAGCAGAACAGCCACTGTGAAAAAATATTTAATTTCCAAGTGTGTTCGTGGTGTTTTTAAATTGTGGTATGTTATACCATTTCATTATATATATATATATATAATATATATATATATATATATATATATATATATATATATATATATTATATATATATATATATATATATATATATTTATATATATATATATATATATATATATATATATATATTATATATATATATATATATATATATATATATGTCGTGCCGAATAGGCAGAACTTGCGATCTTGGCTTAAATAGCAACGCTCATCTTGCCATATAGGACAAGCGAAAATTTGTGTATGCAATAATTTCGCCAAAATCATTCTGAACCTAACGAAAAAAACATATTTCACTGTGTTTGCTTACTATTAAATTATTGTAAACAAATCTAAAATATATTTAGTTGGGTTAGGCTAAAATAAATTGTTCTTGTTATAATAAGGATAGGTAAGTTTTCTAAGATTCTTTTGGTGCAAAATTATAAATTTTTACATCAACATTAATGGAAAAAAATATATCTTTAAACGTATAAGAGAAAATTTCAGAAAGGATTTAATTTTAAATGAGTTCTTGCTAATTGACCAGTTTTACATATTCGGCACGACATTATATATATATATATATATATATATATATATATATATATATATATATATATATATATATATATATATATATATATAACGCTCTTCTTGCCGAATAAGGTAAGCGAAAGTTTGTGTATGCAGTAATTTCGCAAAAATCATTCTGAACCTAACGAAAAAATATTTTGTAAACTTATCTAATATATATCTGGTTGGATTAGACTAAATTAAATTGCGCTTGTTATAATAAGGTTAGGCAAGCTTTCTAAAGCTCTTTTGGTACAAAATTATTAATTTTTATATTAACATAAATGAAAAAATATATATAACTTTAAACGTATAAGAGAAAATTTTAGGACTTAATTTTAAATGAGTTCTTGCTAATTGGCCAGTTTTATCTATTCGGCACCACACACTATATATATATATATATATATATATATATATATATATATATATATATTAAAATATATATATATATATATATAACATAATTGATACAGCTTAATCCCTTCAAGGGATGCGTCTCAAGGCCTGTAAAGGGTTATTGATTCAAGAGGTTGGACTTGACCTTCCCTTCCTTGGGTCGACTCGGATTGCCTCTCATTCTTTCAAGTTTTGCATGACTTCTATGCATTTTATCCCTTTCCATCGTGACTGTAATAATAATATGATCAAACATGATTACTTCCCATTCCCCAGACGTCCTACGACCCCTACCGGCTTAGTTCTTACCCTTCAGTACTAAAGCTGGAATGTGTACCCTTTTGGTGTCTGTGTGCACATTAATGGTGCTTTTGTGTGTACCACAGTGATACATTTTGTTGGTAATTCTACCATCATTATCACATATACGGTACTTACAACGTGTAGCTTTATGGTACATACAATGTGTAGATTTACGGTACGCTGAATTTTATTGGACTTCCGCTGTTATTCAAATGGGAAAAGTGCTAAACTCGTAAAGGAATCATACAACACTTTTGTAATGAGAAGTAATTATATCTGAATTATGGGCAGTGTAGCTCTAGTTATTTGAGTCAAGAGCACCTCAATAAGGCACCAGCTCTTCATGTGTGTAATTTAATACCAACATGATTCCATCATCAATAATTATATCACATGATTAACAACACTGCCATCATCAATAATTATATCACACGATTAACAACACTGCCATCATCAATAATTATATCACACGATTAACAACACTGCCATCATCAATAATTATATCACACGATTAACAACACTGCCATCATCAATAATTATATCACACGATTAACAACACTGCCATCATCAATAATTATATCACACGATTAACAACACTGCCATCATCAATAATTATATCACACGATTAACAACACTGCCATCATCAATAATTATATCACACGATTAACAACACTGCCATCATCAATAATTATATCACACGATTAACAACACTGCCATCATCAATAATTATATCACACGATTAACAACACTGCCATCATCAATAATTATATCACACGATTAACAACACTGCCATCATCAATAATTATATCACACGATTAACAACACTGCCATCATCAATAATTATATCACACGATTAACAACACTGCCATCATCAATAATTATATCACACGATTAACAACACTACCACCATCAACAATGGACATTATGACTTGTATCTTGCTTACTGTAGTGTGTAACTTATTAACTTGATCTTTCTCATGTTATGTACGTCTTCCTGGACACATGTGCAACATCTGGGGATCCTTCAGTCTTGCAGGAACTAGACTACGGTGATCTTCACCAACTCCAAGGCTGAGGGACTGATTTCCTCACCTTCTGTATAGAGTTCTTTACATTATGTCCCTGTATTGTATTGATAAAGCCACTGGTTGGCGAAACGTCTACAAATAAAGATCCCCAGATGTTGCAGATGCGTCTAATTCCTCATCTTGTCGGTATTATGTACCATTTATGTACTACTTCCTAGGAAGGAGGGAGAGATGGCGAGAGACCGAGAGAAAATAATACTTGCCCAGTTTTGAAACATAAGAAAGAAGGAAGTGGCCCATACTTGGCAAGTCCGTGTCAAACCCAAACCCACTAAAAAATATTCGCCCAAACCATTATCAATGTTACCCAAGGAATAACTCTTATAAACTCAAGTGACACTCAAATCCAACCCCTCACTCATGTATTTATCTAACTCGTATATGAATCTACTTAAGGTTT